ATGAATAAATTAGCATAATTTTAAAAAATTTGCATAAAGTGTAGGTACTCCTTCTGGACCTCTGCCGTATTTTTTTGTATGATTTGACCTGAAACAACATCCTCTAACCAGTAAAGTCTGTCTGTCTGTCTGCCTATCAATTTTGTTGAAAAAACAGTAAGAGTATTTTACGATGGGGTATAGAGGTCTTGATCAACATTTCTGAACAAATATAAGTTATTTAGGTTTATTTTATGGAAGGTTACTTCCATAAGTTGTACCGTCGTTATTCAATTTTATGTTTTATCAAAAATCTAAATACAATGAATGTAAGTCACTCAGTAGTTATGGAAAATGTATCATATTGAGTATAAATCACTGAATACTAGTACATAGTCTAATAATTATTATGTGTGTGCTGATTTTTTTTTCAGAAAATATTAAAAATTGTTGACAATTTTCTATATTTTTTTTCATTTTTGCTTCTAGACAATTTTGTCTTGAGCTGAATGGATTGGCTGTGAAGTTACAGGTAAGATGCTTTACATTGAATGTTGTTCTTTTCATCAAAACAAGATTTGACTGAAATTAGAATCAACTGACTTGACCTGCTAAGACACAAGTACTGTATTTGCTCTATTAGTAGTGCATACACTGCCAGATTATAAAGAAAGATTTTATAACAATCTAGTATGCAATTCATGCAACTGTTTACATGTATATGTGCTTTTATTGGAAATGCACTTCTGATGGAGCAAATTTGGTATACATTGTATATCCTTGCACAGACCACAACTAATCAAATATATAACAAAAGATTGTACATGTAAGAAGTCACACCCATTTTTGACTCCCATGTGCGAAGCACATAATGGGAGTCTTTGCAGTTAGTGTGTCTGGGTGTGTGTATGTGTGTCCGACAGTTCCACTGCTATCTCAAGAACCATACATCGGTTTTTGATGAAACTTGGTGCATAGATGCTCTGGGCCAATGCGCAGATTTTATTAGGTTTTGGTAAAAATCCATGCTTGTTAATTACCTAATTTGCATGATAATTAGCTAATTTTTAGCTGTTCTATGACTGTTCCACTGATATCTAAAGAACCACTCATTGGATTTTGATGAAACTTGGTATATAGATGCTCTGAACATATGCGCAGATTTGATTAGTTTTTGGTAAAAATCTGTGCATATTAATTACCTAATTTGCATGTTAATTAGCTGATTTTTAGCTGTTCCATGATTGTTCCACTGATATCTAAACAACCACTCATTGGATTTTGATGAAACTTGGTACATAGATGCTCTGAACATATGCGCAGATTTGATTACTTTTTGGTAAAAATCCGTGCATATTAATTACCTAATTTGCATGATAATTAGCTGATTTTTAGCTGTTCCATGATCCACTGATATCTAAACAACCA